AGTACTTGTCGTCTGGGGAGAACCGAGCAGGATGGGCTGAGCATGTCTGTTGTCCCATTGGGTCAAATTTCTTCAACGTATACACCCGGTCTCCCTGCTCGTTCAAGTAATACTGGAGAAACATTGCCACGCTACTCTATCACTCCTCCGCCTCAGCTGCCGCTCTTTCTCAACGGTTTCTAAATTTGAGGAAATGAGTTTTATTAACAAGCTTCAGGGGCCTGAGAGATAGCTCAGCAGGCTAAAGTGCAAGCTTAGGCAAGCACCGGGACCTCGAGACCTCAGTTCCATTCCCAGCACCACATGCTGCGCCAGCCCCGCCCCCCAAAAAAGGTTCAACTTCATCTAATTCACTGAAAGCACCCAAGGCGCTTGGGTGGCAATAGGACCCAAAGGAGGACCCTTCCTGTGCGGTCTCTGCTTGCCCCTGGGGCTGAATTCCACGCTCACAGCCATCCCTCTAAGTGGGTGTTAGGATGTCCTGGGGTCCCGCTGAAGCCGAAGTCTGGCCTGGGTGCAGAGGGAGAGGTGACAGTGGGTCGCGCAGGGCACACTCCAGTCCCCTTCAGAGGGGTGGCCTCGCGTTAGGCGACCCACATAATAGCGGCTTTGATGCCTGAGTCCGGGAGGCGGGAGGGAGGGGGCCCAAGGGGAGGGGACAGAAGGGGCGGGACCGAAGCAGCCGGCGGGGCAGGAGAGGGGTGTGTCCCTCCGGGTTTCCTCCGCCCCTCAGCCCCGCAGCGCGCCACACGCCCCGGCCCCGGCCCGGCCAGCGCGCGTCTCTCGTCCTGCGTCCCGGCCCTCACTGCAGCTGCGAAGCCCCAGAAGGCGGGAGCCCGGCGCGCGCCATGTCGGTCGCGCTCAGCAACAGGTTCCAAGGTAGGCGCTGCCGTCCCGCGTCGGCCTGAGCGGCCACCTGTGCGCGCCAGGCGATCTGCTGCCGGGGGATTGAGCTCGTGCGGGGGCGCGTGGCCTCAGAGCCCCCCTTCTCCCAGGCCACCTCTTTGTCTCCTCCAGGAGGGAAGGCATTCGGCTTGCTCAAAGCCCAGCAGGAGAAGAGGCTGGCGGAGATCAACCGGGTAAGCCGGGGCGCCTCAGTGTGCGACACCCCCTCTCCCCAGGTTTCCCCAACTGCCGCCCTGGCCCCAGCCTGGTCGCCTGCTACTTCAGGTAGGTCTAGGTACGCTCCACCTCCCAGCTCGGCCGGCTCGGGTTGCACGTTGTTACTCCTGAGCCGGGGAGGTGGAGCTGGTCCTGGAGCTGGGGGCCGCCCCAGATCCGATAGGGGCTCCCTGCAAACGCTCTGGGGACCTGCGCGGAGTTTTGGCGCCAGAAGGGATCCCTCCACCCCCAGGGCCCGCACTGTGTCCACCAAAGAAAGCAAGGGAGTTGGTTCCCATGGCCTCCAGGGAAGTCTCAGGTCTTTCTCTCCAACTTTTCTAAACTAGCTTTTTCTTGCCGGTCCTGGTGAATTTCTTTAATGAAAGAACTCCTTCCGCCGCTGCTGGGTGCACAATGGACTGCCTAAGTTGGCTTAATGGCCTCGTAGATCCTAGGAGATAAGGAAGGCTGGCAGAGTGGAAGAGGGGCAAAGCTGAGGGGCTGCCCAGCTTGGGGGGGAAGGGGTTAGCTTTGGGGGTTTTAGGCTCAGCCTGGCTGCTGTCTGGGCCCAGCCAGGACCTGGGAGCAGGGTCACCTCGGGGAGGTGCATGGTGCCCTTGGTCTGCTTCAGTGTTTGGCTCCCAGGGGCGCCCAATGGAGGCCACTCCGTGCCTCCTTCCTAACGGGTGGCAGAGGGTGCCCACCATGTCAGGAATGTGCATTCCCCTGCAGGCTCTTCTGCACCTTTGGACATTGGGGTGCTGAGTCCAGCTCAGGGTGCCTGGTGGGACTCAGCTGGGGGCTGATGGAGCCCTGGCCATGACTGTGGAAAGAGAGATGGCAACTTGCACCCTGAATTTGTTCCTTGATTTCTTGGAAGTCCTCAGACTAGGCAGCCTGTCTGTTGTCATGTACTAGCCACAAGAATCTCCTGGAGGGCCTGGGCACTGTGACCTGCTCCCTGCCTCTCAGTGCCGTCTTGGGCTGGGTTGAAAGGCTGCCCAGACGTCTGGCTGGGCTCTAGAGTCAGGGTCGGCTGGGTTCCTTCCCACTGAGCACTGTGCTAGCCCAGCCTTGGTTTTGGTGCTCTTGCCCTCTGGCCGAGAGCCTGGGATCCTGACCTCATCCAGCCCCTGGGCCACTGAGCCGGGCGGGTTCTGAGCTGGCTGAATCCACCCACAGCCAGCAGGACCCCGAGCCAAAGACAGCTGGAGATGGGGGTTAGGTGACCATAGTTGGCCAAGCCAGAAGAGCTGAGAGTGTTTGGGACTTTCCATGCCAACCTGGCCCCTGGGGAGGCAGCGAGAGAGTGCAGGCCCTTGGGGTAGTTGGGAGAGGTGGACCTGTTTGGCTCAGAGAGGAGGAGAGACTGGGCTCTCAGGGCTGATTTGACCAGCCCTGGGACTGGGGAGATTAAACAAGAGCACACTGCCCAAGAGAGGGCAAACAGATGACTGAGGTCACGCAGGAGCTAGCAGCAGTTACAGCTGAGTCTTCCCTGCTCAGATGCTGCTCTGAGACCCAACATGGAACCCAGGCTGCTGCAGGGCTGGGGTCCAGGGTGCAGCGCCCGGAGGAAGGAAGCTCCATGGCCGACCTGGAAGCTGCAGCTGAGTCTCCACCCAGCAGGGCAAGGTGGCCACAGGCCATGCAGCATGCTGACCTTGTGACCTTGGTCGAGCCATGCCCCTTTGCCACGAAGAGATAACGGTGGTGCTTGTGAGTTTCGGTTGCACGTCTTTGGTGAGATTGTACAGTACAGGAGGCTGTTGGCATTGTTGGCATGCATTTGCTTGCGACCTCAAGATGCAGGGGGTGGAAACAGGGTATTCCTGAGACAAGGGGTGGCCCGCCCTGGACGGAGCAATGGTCCCTGCCCCTCTCAACTCCTTGAAGCCATCTGTGGAGGAGGGTTGTACATTGGAGGCCTGAGTTTGGTTTGCCCATGATTGTGGCTGGAGCAAAATTTCTCTGGGTAGAATGTTCTAGGGAGAGCATTGCCAGCCAGCACTGTCTTTTGGGGGTTAAGCTTTACTGCCGCATGGAATGTGGGTTCCTGGGAGCTCTGCTGAGCCACGGGTGACAGGGTGTCAGGAACCGAACCGCTGCCTGAGGGGGACAGCAGTGTAGGTATCTGGGGCAGAGCCCAGCTGGGCTGGCAGCTCGTGGGGCCTTTTTTGGCCAGCAGCCCAATTCCCCTTGGTGTGCACCAGTGTCCAGAGTAAGCAAGGTAGTTCAGTCTTAGCAACTATTGTTTTAAAAACTTTTTTTTTTTTTTTTTTGAGGCAGGGTCTTGCTGCATGGTTCAGGCTACCTTGAACTCATGATGATCCGCCTGCCTCAGCCTCCCAAGGGCTGAAGTCACAAGCTGAGGTTAAAGGCATGTGCAACCACACCTGGCTTGCAAGTGTTATTATAAGGATTCCAGAGTCCAAATGGGAGAAGCCTTGGGTGAGCCCGGCAGAATGAGTGCAGGGAGTCTGCGCTGCGCACCTTTGATTGGTTTCCTCTGAGCTTCTGATGCCGTCTGCCGCGCACTTGGAATGCGCAGCCCTGTGCCAAGTGCGCTGTGGGCACTTTCTCCCTGAGTGCCCACTCTGACCCTGCGACGGGTGCTCTGATCCCACGTCACAGAAATCAAGGCTCAGCGAAGTCAAGTGAAGGGCCTGGGTTGAAATGGCCACTGTGTGAACCCAAAACTACTTGCTTGATCTCTTTGCGCTTGTCCAGTTCTCCTATGGGTGCTGCCCAACCCACGCCTGGGTGCCGGTGCCTGTGTGCACATGTGTACGCGGGCCTCTCCGTGTGGGTGTGTGGGTGTGTGTGTGTGTGCGCGCTCGCCCCACTGCACTAGTGAGCGCCTCCTACTCCCACCGCATAGCTGGCATTCTCTGCGTCCTGATGATGTGGTAGCTGACCCCAGGCCAAGCCCAGCCTTATATGGCGACAGGAGGGACTGCCAGCAGCTTCCCATAGGGACCCACAAGGGCCCTGGGCTGGGTGGGCTGCCCCTCCTGTGTCCTGAGGCCAGGGAGGAGGGGCCAGGAGGACAGGGAGGTCAGGTGCTGGAGCCTGAAGTGTCTTTCAGATGTAAACACAATTGCAGCTGGGCCCCTTGTGCGACCTTGTCCTCTTTTTTTTCTTTGAGTCAGGGTCTCACTGTACAGCCCAAGCTGGCCTCCAGTTTGTGGTGATCCTCCGGCCTCAGGCTCTGAGTGCTTAGATGACAGGTGAGGGCCACCACGCCCGACCTGCATCCTCCGGATGAGCACTCCATCAGCAATGAGGTCATCATGGTGTAGTCAGAGATGAATCTTGAGTCTCTGAGCATTCCTGTGGGCCAGGCGTTGTTTTTAGTCCATTTCAAAGACAGGAAAACAGAGGCTCAGCCTGATGAGGTCATCTGCCCTATGTCACCTGGCCAGGCAGTGGCAGAGGCAGGGTTTAAATCAGCTCTACTCCAGGGGCCCCACCCCCACCCCAACGCCCATCCTGGCCATGCCTAGCAGGTGACTGCAGTTCTGTGGCAACACAGGCCTCTTGCTTAGGTAGGTGTATACCAATCTCTGGCTATAAGCCTGCCATCCCAGCCCTCGAGGTCAGGTGGAGGGCATTCAGTGAGGTGCCCGATGGCTGTTTCAGCACCCGCGTGCTCTACGCTGGGAAGGGAACTGGCTGGGCAGGCTGAGGAATCTGTGCCCCTGGGGGTGTACCTGTCCCTGCCCCCCCCCCCTTTGGAGGCCTCTGAGACCTGACCCAGGTGACTCTGCAGGTGTGTCTTTTCCTGTGCACCTGGCAGGACCGCTGTGTCCCTGGCCAGGTGAATGGGCCCCGTTGGCATTGCTGGGCACCCGTCTCTCTTGCTCATCCTTAATATATTATAAGGGAGATGTGATAAGAGCCATCTAGCCTCTGGGGATTCAGTGTCCCCCGCGCGTCTGGTCAGTTGTGACCTCTCTGTGGCCATGTCACGGGCAGCTGGAGATGGAATTTCTGCAGGCTCTGCTTCCGTTCTGTGGCTGCTGGGGAGCTTTATTCATTGGCCCCACCTGTTGGCGTGGACGCAGTGTCCACATGGGGCCCCAGAGCTGCCCTGGGGAACGTGAGCCTGCCGTCCTGTTGGGGACAGGTTACAGGCTCCTGCGGCACTTGGGGCCTGGCCCTGGCCCGTTAAGAGCCTGCGGGCTGCGTCAGAAGCCTCAGAGCCCTGGCATGGTGCTGCCTGTCTTCGGGGCTCCTGCCTGGGGCATCAGTGCCAGTCCCTTGGATGGCCTCCAGGATGGTGATCTCCGCCCACCCCAAAATTCTGCTGCAGCTGATACAAAAAGACCAGCCAGGAGGACCAGGAGCAAGGGTCCGAGAGAAGGTCTTGGAGGTACCAGCCCAGGAAGGGCATTGGGCCAGGGAGCTGCGGGAGGGTGCCAGGGAGCGGGAGGTCAAGACGCCTGCAGCAAGGGCTGCCAGCCTCTGCTGGTTTGGAACTTCCTGGGCTGAGCTCTTGAACAGGGCTCCTGGGGTGGGGTAGGGTGGGGAGATGTTTCCCATGTGCACGGAGGCAAAGGGGGCACAGTCCCTGAGGGCCAAGATGGGGTGCAGCACGGTGTCTGGTGTGAATGTCCTGTTGGGTCAGTGAGGCGTCCAAGGGTAGAGTGAAGCTTGCCCTGGAGGAGGGAGGGTGAGAGGGTTACAGCTCTCCCCAGGGGGGCTTGTGAGTTGTGGGGGAGGTGCTTTCACTACAGATCTTGTCTCTTGGGGTGGCTGGGGCTTGTGGGGGGTCCCAGCACACAGTGACCAGGGGCCAGGTTTTTAAGTACGTGGAACTCGTTTTATCCATACTGCATGTGGCAGGCCGAGCACTGTGATTCCAGCTTACCCATGAGGAAACTGAGGCCCAGAGTGCTGCAGAAAGGTGCCCTGGCCGGGGAGATGGCTCAGTAGAATAAGTGCTTGCCTGGCAAGCACAAAGGTCTGAGTTCAAATCCCTGGTTCCGCAAAAAAAAAAAAAAAAGGTGCCCAGGGCCACAGGCCAGTAAGTGCTGGAGCCAGGAGTTGGACCCAATTCATCTGTCGTGCTCCTACACACACTTCATGCAGAGTTTGTGTGGTACCCCTGGAACTCCCAACACGACCTTCCCTTGGGGGCCTCAGTTTCCCCAGTTATTGAACAAAGAACAAAAGCCAGGTGCTCCCAGGAGTGACTTAGGGCTTCTGTTACTGTATAGGGTGGTTTTCTGTTTTTTTTTTTTTTTTTTTTTTTTTTTATGTATTGGGGCAAGGGGATCAAACTCAGGATCTTGTGCTTACCGGCAGGTGCCTGTGCCACTGAGCTATCTCCCTGGCCCCTTTATTTTCTTGAAGCAGGATCTCATATGTAGCCCAGGCTGGCCTCACACTTGTGGCAGTCCTCCCGGGCTGGGGTTGCAGGTGGATGCCACCACGCCCTGTTTGGATGGGTGTTTTCAGAGTTCTAACACCTCCAAAGGCTCCCGTGCAGCAATGTGAGCCCTTGGGCCTCAGGGACAGATCTGTCTGTCACTCCTGCTTTCATTTCTCTGGAGGTTTGTCTCTGGGACAGAAGGTTTATTTGGGAGCCAGGGGTAGCATTACCTACCCCACACTCCCCAAGGAGATGGAGAGGTCTCTGGGCTACGGAACAACCTCCCACTGCAGACGCACCAGCCCAGAGTTGGCGGCACCAAGGGGCATAGGGTGGAGGAGGGAGCAGGTCTGCGTTCCCTAACCTTTGTCATCTTGCAACTCTCTCTGAGCCTCAGTTGTTCCCTCTGCAAAAGGAGGACACCTAGAAAAGAGAGAGGCAGAGAAAAAGAAAAGCAAACGGAGGGGAGAGAGAGCCAGGAATGGGGGCACAACTTGTAATCTCAGCCCCGGGAGGGTGAGGTTGGAGGGTCATTGCAAGGTGGAGGCCAGCCTGGGCTCCACTTAAGCAACTGGCGCTGGGCTGTGGGGTCAAAAGCTGATTTGTAGATAGCAATGTCAGAAACGTTTAATAAATACTGAAGAATTATTCAGTACTTACTAAGTGCCCGGTCCCATAGTAGGCGCTTTTCCTGGATTTGCTGATATAACATTGTTCATAGGACAGACCTAGAAGTGAATGTGATGTTTTCCTTCGTCCTTAGCTGAGGAAACAGGCATTGATAAATGAAGTAATGTTATTTATCTTTGTCTTTTGGACATCTTCTCAATATGCAGTTCAGCCTGGCTTTGAGCTCTCACTTTGTACCCCAGGCTGGTCTCGAACTTGTAAGGGATCATCCTGCCTCACCCTTCTGAGTGTGCTGGGATTACACGCATGCACCACCACGCCCCGCTGCTTTTTCTGTTTTCCTTCTAGTTTTGTTTTGCTTTTGACTTTTTGAGGTGGGATCTCACTAGGCAGCTCAGGCTGGCCTTGAGCTCGCTTTGTAGCCCAGGCTGATCTTCAACTCGCAGTGATCCTCCTGTCTCAGCCTCCCCAGTGCTGGGATTACAGGCGTGTGCCACTATGCCTGACGAGATTACTCTTCTTCCTTCTCTTTCTCCTTCTCCTCCTTCTTCCTCTTCTCTCTTTTTTTCTTTTCTTTATTTTGTCTTTTTGAGACAGGGTCTATGCAATTCAGGCTGGTCTTGAACTCATTTTGTAGCCCAGACTGGTGTCAAACTCCCAACCACCCTCCTGTCTCAGCCTCCAAGCGCTGGGAGATGAATGAAGTAATTTTTACAGCATTACTAGGTGGATCTAATGCAGGCATCTGGCTGTAGCTTGCCCTCTGGAATGGTCTTACTTTTCCTCTGGACAGCTGGGCAGCTTCTCCTTGGGTCTCTCTGCCTGCGCCCAGGGTCCGGAATCTGAGCAGCATAGTCCTTGGTAGATAGGGCACCTCCACCCCCAGGCTAAGCGGGGCTGGGAGCTGCCTGGAGGGAGAAGCTTTGGGCGGCGCGTGGAGCTAGCTGACAGGCCAGGCCCCAGGCTGCTTGCTCTCCTCCGCTCCTGTGAAGGGCACAGCTGCAGGGCAGGGCAGGGCGTCTGACCCACACATGCCTGGTCAGCTGCTTCTCCCACTCTGGTCACTCTGGGGCTCAAGCATTTGTCACTGTTGGCTTTAAGCAAAGATGTGAGCCCATTCCCAGAGTCCTCTCTGGTGTCAGATACGCACACGCACACACGCAAAGCTGCCTGACTCTCTCTTGGCAGAGCAGCAGGTTTCTCATTCATCCGACAGATGTTCCTTGAGTGCCTGCTCTGTGCCGGGCACTGCTGAGAGCCGGGCATCTAGAGGGGACACAAGGACCTGCCTCCTCCCGGATCCTCCGCCCCTTGGGGTTCTGCTCTTCAGCTGTGCCAACAGCAGCCGCTGAGTTCCTCCCAGCTCAGCCACTTGCTGCCTGTGCAGCCGTGTGCAAGCCAGATGTCCTAAGTTTCCACTCATTTATGTGTCCTGAGGAGACTTACTGAGCATCTACCACGTGACACCTACGTCCTGATGGGGAGACAGGCCGGGGAGAATAACCTTAACAAGCAGCAGCAGGGGTGATGTTTTCCTCAGGTAAAAGGAGAGGCAGCGCTGCGCCAGTAGAAGGGAAATTGGGGAGGGTGGCAGGGGCTGGGCACGGTATAAAATCAGGTGCGTGGAATGCGGGGAGGGCCTTTTGAGGTGACTTGATCAGGTTTAAAGGAGGTGAGAGAGAGAACCACACGGGGGCAGGGCACAGCCTGAGCAAAGGTCCTGGGGTAGGAGTGTGGTTGAGGCCCAGAGAGGAGCAAGAGGAGAGGACACAAATGAAGCGACAGGTAAGGTGGTGACATGTTTGGAAGTGAAACACTACATCCACGGAAGATGATTGTCCAGGCCCTTGTCCCCCGCTGCTGGGGCTTCAGGGGCCTGGCTGGGGGACCAGGAGGTTGGAATCGTGATTAGGTACCTCTGCATTTGTTCTGTGCTCCTGGCCTTGCCCTGCACGTCTACCTGGGATTCCCTGTTCATCCTGGTGGTTCTAAGACCAGGCATCTGTCCTCCTGGGGCCCCATCTGCCCCCAGGGGACAGCAGGACCTGGGTCCCTAGGGGGCCTGGGCAGGATGACTGGTTAGCCACTGGATGGAAGGGGGGGACCCACCTGCCAGGTCTCTGCCTAGCTTTCCATGTTTGGCTCGCTTAGGCGCTTGTGCCCACTCTCTGAAAAGGCTCTCGGATCTTGATAAGGCAAAGGGAACTCGGCGGTACGGTGGGCTGCACCCCTGCTAAATGGCTCCCACATTAGAATTCAGAGATCCTGAACTTCCTTCTGAACTCACGGTAACAGCCAATCAGAATTGTCTAAAGGTCTTTACTTGGCAAAATAAAAACTTGGCAGCTCTCTGTGAGTGCCCCTTCCCCGCCTGTCTGGCTTCCATCTGTGTTACCAAGCTTGGGCACTGCTGACCACATCTGACCATCCCTGGGGGAGAAGGGATCCAGGACCCCAGGCGTGCCAGGCCATCTCAGACAAACCGACTTGCTTGTTCCAAAGATGGAGGAGTTGGGGAGAAGAGCTACGAGAAGCAGCCAGCAGGGGAAGGGGGCTGTGTTCAATAGAGCCATCAGGAGGGGATAGTCCCGGGCTTTGGGGTGGGACGAGGATCCACTCCAGCTAAGGGCAGGCAGGGTGGTACAAGGCATTGAAGCCCTCAGCAAGGTGATGGCCGGGCCACAGGCTCGGACCTTGAAGACTGACAGACCCAGATTGCAAGCCAGGCAGAGCTGACGCAGCTGCCTATAGACCAGACTTGGTGTCACCTCTAGGGTCTGATAGCACAGCAGGATCACACCACGCTGGCCACAGTGGATGTTGCCCTGAAAGCAGGGTGGAGGGCCCAACCTGACCGCTCCTACCACCCAGGAAGGGGGCCGCCTGCCTGGTGGGCTTCTCCTCCTGCCCGAAGTTGCCAAGCTAAGGGTCACACTGGGCCCATGTCCGGCCTGCGGTGCTCACAGCAGGATCCATCGAGGGGCAGGTGCCCGGGAGCCGGGTGCGGTCGTGTCCATCTCACAGCTGGTGGGGTAGGCGCTAGGAGCCAAACCCTGGCTGGCTCAGGTGCTTGTCATCTCTCTTCTACCTGATGGGGATTTGGCCAACAGACTGGAAAGGTGGAGGACTGTC